GTGAGGGGATGGGCAAATAAAGAGTTGACTTGTTCACGTGGGTGAAGAGAAAGAATATGCACAGGGAGAGGTCGGCATAAGATGATCAAGGTGAAAGAAGACATTGAAAAGAAGATGAGAGTTCAAGGCAACATAAGTCAGTGCTATTACATATACACTGCAGCCAAGACAGTAGTAATAACTGCATACATAGATAGACATGCAATGTGCATACATAGATAGACATGCAATGTGTAGGAAGACAATGGAATTATACCCACAAATATGTGCAGATTTGGTAGAGGATATTTCTGCATGCGACGGGTAAGTCAAAAATATAGGAGGAAGTGGAAGGAGAGATGTTTTATTGTAGGGATTTCAATCAGGCCAAAATGTGTAAGAATTGTTGAATATAAAATGAGCTTACTCTGTAAACTTTCACCCAAATTTCAATGAAAAATTTTAAAATTCACTTTCTTAGAGTATGTTTCTTTCATATCCTGGTTTAACTACAGAGAGAAATTCTTCATTAGTTCCCAAGCCTACTAACAATTGAGTCAAATGGCAGGTGCCTATGAAAAGTTTGAGTTGCCTCTGCTGAGTACAACTAGGAAAACAAAGAATCTGCATAGTCATGTAAAAGACTGGTTTAATGCAGCAAAAACTGTGCTTAATTCAATCATTTTGCCCTGGTCAAAATGGCTTCCTGTACTTCTCTTTTATACTTTGTATAAATGTTGTCCAAATGCATTGCACAACTCCAGTAAGACTGCTTCACATGAGGATCTTCAGCAAAATCAAGCTTTCCCTGAAACAATGTCATTTGCTATTTTAAATTCAAGAAGGAAGTGATGATTGAAGAATGACTCATAGAATACGACTCAAATACCAGTTGATTTTACTCCATGGTAAAATTATACATATGCCACTGTCCATATCTATAGATCTAACAAACCACAGATTGAAAATATTTGGGGTGAGCAAAATGCAATTCAGATGTGGAAGGAATTCCTGAAAGACTGGAAAGAAGCATAGGATGTTATTTATATAGCGTTGACATTGTGCTAGGTATCCCTAGTAATCTGGAGATGACTTAAAGGATATGGGAGGATGTACATAGGTTATATGCAGATCCTATGCCATCTTACATAAGGGAGTTGAGCATCCAGAAGGGAAGAGGGGTCTTGGAAGAAGACAGCTGGATACCAAGGGATGACTGCCATGTGCTTTAGCAGAATGTGTAGCATGAGAAGCAATCATGATGGTCATCATCACCACCACTCTTGGTCAGCATCATGATGAGAACTCTTCAGTGCAACTTTTTACTTATTCTTGCATACATACAAAAGTATGGAATCTTTAAAATATGTTCTACTACCTCTTAAGAACCCATTATAAATCACTGTCAAAAATCAGCTATTTGACTGACTTGACTGTGGCCCATATCCCAGATTACTAGGGCTTAGCTCAGTCATGTCCATCCTCTGCAGCATTGTGGGAACACTGTAGCATGACTCTCATGGGGAAATTGTTTTGTAAGTAGAAAGACTTTGGTTCAAATCTTGGCTCTTTCATATATTAGCTTTATGACTGAGAAGCTCACAAGACTCAGTTTTCATATCTGTTAAACAGGGTGTATGATTCCTATCTGAGGGTGCATAGTGGTTAGGTGTTGGGCTGCAAACCACAAGGTCAGCAGTTCAAAACCACCAACTCCACAGGAGAAAGGCAAGCTTTACACTCCTTTAAAGAGTTACAGTCTCAGAAACCCACAGAGACCATTCTACCCTGGTCTTATAGGGTTTATGAGTCGGAATTCACTGATGGCTCTGAGTTTGGTTTGGTATGACTGATATCCAGAGTACAATGCCCCAAACCTGGAAAATGCTCAGTGTTAGCTATTAATATGCCTTCATAGGAGAAGGGCCCAAGGACTTAAAATTCATGTTAGAAAGACCCTTGAACTTAAATCAAAGAAACAGATCTATCTCGAGTTTGCTGTGGGATCAGCCAATCTGATGAAATTGCTGGTGAATTGGACTGTAAAGAAGGGGAAATTTTGTGTAAATATAAGGCAGTCGTGTGATCAGCTCATAGTCACTCTTCCATTTCCTGAGTCAAGTTGTTACTACCCTAAAGAAGTCATGACTTTGCAAGTAACTCTGGCATAGCAGGAACCTTGAGCATGCTACGGGCACTGTGGGGCTCAGTAGTTCTACCGTAACTTCTCATTTCATGCAATAGTGTAGACTGGTTTTTGCAATGTTAGGATACCAGCGCTTGTTTCTTGTGCCCAATGCAAGTTCCAAGTGATTTATAAACATTTCTGACAACACGCCGGTACTGTTGGGTGGTTATGAATAGAGATTGTGGGCCCTTTTGTGATCTTGACCAAGTAAGTCACTTCTGAAACCCCAAGACCTTGGAAGAGCAGGTTCAAGATCTTTGCCTGGGAGTGTCACCGAGACATGGGAACAGTGTCGAGATGAAGGAATACCTCCTCCTTACCAGGCCCAAGACTATGAAACTGTGGGACAGAGCAACAGATGGACTGGCTTCCTGGCCCATGGAAGCTAAGGCCAAGTGACCACGTGGCTGAGAGACTAGTAACTGGAAAAAAAAAAAAGGAAAAAAACCTTAGCTATCATGTGAATGAGAGGCTGAGAACCAGAGAGGGAGATTCAGTTGCTGGCTCAGGAGACCAATGATTGTATCTTTACTATTTGCTGATCCCAACTTGTGGTAACCTATTGGCTTTCCCAATAACCCCTCTGTGGTAGTTACAAAGTCTTTTGTCAATTTGAGACCTAAGAGTGAAGGGGTGGAGTTTAGCCTGTCAATCAGGTCGTGGCTTGTTGACCTCATTTGGAGCCACTAAGGAGATAAATAGCTCATTGGAGGTGGGTCACACCCTCACTCTCTGGGAGACATTCCAATTGACAAGACACATGGAGCTACACTAGTGTCCTGAGCTGGAGGAGCCACGTAGAGACCCCTGCCACCACTGAGATGCTTACACTGACACTGGATCCACAAGACTTTCTACCCACTGGCCTGTGATCAACCTGCCTTCAGCATCATTGCATGTGTTGTGTGAGTCTGAAGAGGAATTTATAGATTGGTATCAGACATATGGGCTATTATCGGACTTAATGGACTTGATCTGGACTGGGCTGGGACGTTTTCTCAATATTCAATTGCTCTTGTATAGAAAGCTCTTTCTTATACACATTTAAGTCTCCCTGGATTTGTTTCTCTAGTCTCCCGGACTAACACACTCCCTTAAGTGTGAGTGTCGTCTGTGAGTTCAGTTTGGCCTTTACAATCACACCCAGCATAGATGAAGAGGGGCGTGGGAGGAGTGGTTGCTGTCAGAATAGACAAAGAATGATGGAGTGTGGAGGTATGTCTGACTCGTGGCAATGGAGAAGCTGGAGGAAGTCAGGTATGTCCACCTTCATGCCATTAATTGCAACCAAAAAACGATTGCAAGTCTTGCTGACCCCATGTGTGTCAGAGTCGAGCTGTGCTTCAGAGGGTTTGCAGTGGTTGAATTTTCCGAAGTAAAAGGCCAGGCCTTTTCTTCCGTTGTGTCTCCAGATGGACTAAAATTTCCAGCCAGTGGGTTAGAAGCTGGGCAATTCAGGGCTCCATCTAACAGTCATTTGAGGAAGGTATGCAATCCTGAAAGGGAATGGGATATGAAAGGGGACTTGCAAGTCAATGGGCAGAAGGAACCTTGAAGCTGTGATGGCACAGAATTAAAAGTCTGACAAAATTAAATAATATGAAGTTAATGCAGACATCTGAAGAGATTTGTTTCCCCAAAACATTTTTTTCTTTGAATCTTAAGCTGATTGCAAAATAGCAATTGCTTACCCCAAAAAAAAAGCAAGCCCCAGACCTGTCCCATCTCTACCTTAATCTGGACAAAACTCAAAGAGGAAGAAAAGGCTTTGCCTGATGTAGCCAAATAGAAAATCCCTGACCATCCCTGTAGCCTCCCTCATGAAGAGACAGGCATTGTCAAGAAGGAGTTTTTCCTCGAGGGACCTACAAATGGCTAACTAGCCTACCATTGCCTATGGAACTCATACCACAGAAAGTGCTCATTTAGCTTAAGAAGCCCCGTTAGCAAGAAGCCCTGATGGAGCAGTGAGGTAAGTGTTGGGCTCCTAACAGCAAGGTTAGCAGTTCAATCTCACCAGGCACTCCAAGGAGCAGGATGAGCTGCCTGCTCCTGTAAAGAAGGACAGTCTCAGAAGCCCTGTGCTGTGTCCTGTCGGACCAGTTTGAGCCAGAAGCGATGGTCGTAAGTCTGGGTTTGGGGCTGGTGAAAAGCAAGGACACTCAGGAAGGTGAATACTCTTGGGTTTCATTAACTTGAATTAGGTCAGCCGTACTACAAGGGGCTTCAAAAAGTTTGTGGGAATTTTATGTTATCTTCTAATTCTAGTTTTTCCACAAAGGTTTGGAAGCCCCTTCATATTTTATTCTGAACACTTAAATGAGCTGAGTTCTCGGGAAATTAGAATGTTGATGGTATAGGTGAGGACCAGTTTGGGGATCCTTGTAGATTCAAGTAGGACAATAAAGGAAAAGGTATTAGGGGAACAAATGTGATCCGTCAGGAGAGAATTCCTAATGTCGCCATAGGTTGGAATCTACTTGATGGCATTTAACATCAACAACAACAAACCATATGCTCTCTGCCCTGGGCCTCGGCCTACCAGGGAAACATCAATAGAAACCCTGCCTTCTTGGTCTCATTTGGCTTACCCAGGGGGAGCAGGTGAGAGGATGAGGAGGTGAGGGTGCTGACTCCTCCAGCTGCATGCCTGAGGACCCCGCTCCAGCCACCAGGAAGGAGCCTTCCTCCCCGCCCCCCACGGCCTCCGACGGCAGGTATCACAGCCTCTTCAGGCCTTCAGTTCCCCGAGACGCTGCACCTGCCTGTGTGAAGAGGTCTCTTGTCAGACGCTCCAAATGTCCCCATGTAAGTGCACTCTCTCTCCCCTAAGGCCCGTGGATGGTGCAGAGGGCTGGTGCTGAACTGCTACCTCGCTGAAAGGGCGGCAGTTTGCCCCTCTCCAGCGCTGGCGTGGAAGTCAGGACCGCCAAGGAGACCCAGCGCGGCGGTTCTGCTCTAGCTGCGGGGCTCGCCGTGCGTTTGGACACAGCTCGACGGCAATGAGGTCAGTGTTGCGCTTTACTTTTTCCTCTTCTTTCAGGACTCTGACGCGCAGACTGTTTCTACCACTAAGTATTTGCCACAACCCATTCAGCTTCCCAGCTAGCCGGGGACTTGCCTGATGGGTGGAGGGAGGCAGTCTGCACACACCGGGCAAAGCTCACCGCTCTCTGAGGAGAGGAGCCGGGGACTTCCTTGGGGGAAGGAAAGGGACATTCTCGTCTTCCACCAGCCGGATGGATGACTCTGTGGAGGCCATTTGCCCTGGCACTTGCAGAAACAGGAAAATTTGGTCTGGTGTAAGATTCAGAAACTTGCGTAAGTGAGCCGACAGCAGCTGTGCCAGGAACTGGCACAAGAACAGCTCTGTGTTGCCTCAGGAGTCCAGTGAGCGATTGCTTAAAAGTTCCACTCTTGCACAATATGCCCCACAGAAATGTCATTCTTAGGAAATGACAGTGCCTTCTGCGAAGGACACTACCCCCTTTGGTGTCAGAACTGGCACACAGCCAACTCTCCCTGGAAAGCCAGCAGGGACAGTGGTGGTGGGCTGCTCCCAGGCACCTGCTAGGTGCTAGCCACGTCTTCATTTTCCCAGTTGTTTGTTGTTACGCGCTTCTGCGTCAAGGCCGATTCATAGTGCCCCCATATGACTGAGTAGAGCTGCCCCTCAGGGTTTCCTCGGCTGTCATCTTCATAGAGGAGCCCTGGTGGCATAGTGGTTATGCACTGAGCTGCAAACCTCGAGGTCAGCAGTTCAAAACCACCGCTCTGTAAGGTGACGATGAAGCTTTCTACTGCCATAAGGAATTGCAGTGTCTAAAACCCAGAAGCATTTCTACCCTTGCCTGTAGGGTCGCCATGAGTCAGAATTGACTCAGTGGCAGTAAGTTCTGGAGTTTGAGTAGTCTTCATAGAGCACATACAGGCCTTCTTTTCTGAAGTTCAGATGGACAACCTTCCCATTATCTGTCAAGCATTCGGAACCGGCGCCTCCATGGGTGCAGGTATCCCTCGGTTCTTTACCTGGCCCAGGGGGAAGTAGCACAAAATGCTGCTTCTCCAGCTGCTGCTGCTGCGGAGAAGAATAAATGGACCTTGGCTCGGAGCCAGCATCATGTGTCTTCTGCCAAGTGACAGACTAACTTTTAGCTTGTGAAAGAGTGAAATCTCCAGCCCGTCATTGTTCTTGTACCGTATTCATGTGCACTTGTTGCTGTTACCACAAACTGAGGAACTTAAAACAACTCAAACTTATTATTTATAGTCTGGATGCCAGAGGTTCAAATGGGGTCTCTTCGGCTCTAGGGATGAATCTCCTGAGCTGCCTTCTCCTGCTCGGCTCGCGGTCTCGTCTTCCACCTTCAGTCTCATCGGTGTAACAGCCTCCAAACGCTCTCTGTCTCGCCCGCAGTCCAGAGCTCTTGCCTCTCCCTTTCACTTACAAGGGTACTTGTGATTTCATTGGCCATCCAGTTATCTGGTATTCCCATTGCCTCATGTGCATGTGAAGGCGTGCTGGGCCCATAACCCAGAGGTCGATGGATCATAAAACTCCTTATACTTTTAATGAAATATTACATTGCTATTCCCTTGCGTTTGTTACTTCAGTAAACAAACACATAGCATAAAGAGAAAAAGTGCCAACAGCCAGAGAATGACCCGCCATCATTTGTTTCAGCTTTGTGTTACACTCCAAATTCCCGGGAGATGGTCTGAGTGAATTATGCAATTCCTGAAAGTGTTCAAAGAACTGAAGATAGTTTCAGAACAGTTGTAAGTTCAGCAGAAGCAGAAAGGGGTTTTTCAAAGCTGAACACAGTGTGTTCTGAGACGATAAGTTGCCTGTTTCTCATATATCGAACACAAAGACTATTATCTAACTGGCCTACCTCTAAAGGAATGGGATCCCGCTCCTACAGTGGTGAAGGATGAGTCCCACCACTGGGCACCACTGTGTGTGCCTTCAGTTGCTAGGAGAATATTCCACAGTCGTTTTGATCACCGTTCTCATCGTAGCCCTGGCAAGGAATCGTCAGTTTCTCACAGCTTCAGCTCAGATCCTTTATCTTATGCCCAAGGGAACGTGATTTCGGTTTTCACTTCAAGTACGGAAGCCAGCCTTGCACGCCCAGAATAACCACTGCCCTCCCTTTCCCCAAAGTTCTGCTTCAGAACGACTCCACCAGAGCTCTTTATGGAGACTCTAGCCTTAGGCGTGCAAGTTACTATGGAAAGGTATTTTTGAGTAGCTGTTCAGTAGTTGAATGCATGTAGTCTTTTCTTAAATTTCAGTTTTTTCGAACTAAAGGCAGCAGCAGGTGGATGGTACACTCTGGACCCTGGTTGGGCACCTGCTGGTGCATGTCAAGGAGCCAATTCCAATGCATGGTGATCCCATAGGACAGAGTAGAACTTCCTCCTGGTGCTTCCTGACCTATCATCCTAGTCAGTAGAGCAAATTGTAAAGTTTTGCCTCCGTGGGACAGCTGTTGAGTTGGAACCATTGACCTGGTGGTTAGCAACCAAGAGGTTAGCCAGCGTGCCACTAGGGCTCCTGTTACACAACTGATAGGGCTTTGAACTCCAAATGCTCTGAAGTGAGCCTATTTCCCTCAGTACTTGGAAAGGGGGGAGTTCCCGGGGCCATAGGGGTGTCAGCACTTGATTTTGAGGAGCTCGTGAGGCATGGCTAAAAATAGTGGGGCTTCGAGTAGACTTCTGCTGGTACTAGGAGGAAGTCTAGCATCTGTTGACTCCTGTGTTTAGAGACCAAAACCTCTCCAGAACAGTGGTTCTCACCCTTCCTAGTGCCGCGACCCTTTCATACAGTTCCTCATGTTGTGGTGCCCCCCACCCCAACCAGAAAATTATTTTCATTGCTACTTCATCACTGTCATTTTGCTACTGTGATGAGTCAGGCGACCCCTGTGAAAGGGT